CTCCCCGGGAATGTCCAATCTGCCCTTCCTCGAGGTGGAAGTAGTACCAGGCTAGAAAGCTTATGCTCCCAATACTTCTGTTAGTCTCAAAGGTGCCACAGGACCCTCTGTTGCTTTTTACAGATTCAGACTAACACGGCTACCCCTCTGATAAATAATCTGCAGTGACTACAAATCTTTATCAGCTGACCAGAGAGCCTGGTGGTAAGCTAATATTTCTGCTTAATGTACAGTAAATGTACTCACTTAACTTGCCTCATCCTCTCCCTCCCCACAAACATCCACTTGTCTATCTCATCCATCAACTGCATCTTGTCATAACCTATGCTATGAACTCGTTAAGGTAGGAATTGTCTTTTTATTGCTTATTAGTAGGGCTCCGTGTCTGTCACGGAGGTCGCAGAAGTCACGGATTCCGTAACTTTCCACGACCTCCGTGACTTCTGCAGCGGCCAGCGTGGCTGACCCCGGGACCCCCCAAGCAGCTTGCCCCAGGGCCAGCTGCTCAGGAGACCCCAGGGACAGCCAGACCGGCCACTGTTGGAGCAGCTCCGCAGCCAGCCACACCGGCTGCTACTGGAGTGGCCCCAGGGCCAGCCGCATTGGCCGCTGCTCAGGCAGTCCCAGGCTGCCGGCCCCGGGGACCACCTGAACAGAAGCTGGTGCAGCCGGCCCCGGGGACCGCCTGAACAGCGGCGGGTGGGCAGCCCTGGGGGTGGCCGGAGCAGCCACTGATCGGCGGCCCCCGAGCAGTGTCTCCCTACCCCACGGCCCCCCAGCTAAGATTTAGTCTGGGGTATTTACAGTACAAGTCATGGACAGGTCACGGGCCATTCATTTTTGTTTATTGCCAGTGACCTGTCCACGACTTTTACTAAAAATACCTATGACTAAATCATAGCCTTACTTATTAGTACAGCACCAGCACAATGAGTTGCGACCCTCAATTGGTGCCTCTTGACATTACTGCAATACAGATAAATCAATGCTGTGAATAGAAATAAAAAACAAAAGCTACCCAGGACTACAAAAACAAGTCATTCATTGCCTGTATGAACTTTTAGTTCGTACTGACTTTGCTAGTGCTTTTTATGTAGCCTGTTGTAAAACTAGGCATATATGTACCCCTGGTTGAGAACCACTGCACCACAATACTAAATTCCTGTTGTGCTAGCACTTAATTTTTTTTTTTAAGTACTGGAGAAACACGTAATGCTTTCTGCAACCCTACTCAGTGAACATTTTGAATTTGGCAAAAAAATAAAAGGAAAAAGATCTTAATCACCTCTAAGTCTCTGATGGTAAATCAGAACATTAACAGAACAAAGCTAAATAAAAAAAAATGCATGAATAGTTTAGGAAAACACTCCAAAAGATGTAAATCAGAGTAAGTAGCATCTCCAAACTTCCATCATCAATGGTATCCTCCCCCAAGTGGAACATTCTATACCAGCACCACAGCAACTAACATACCACTATGTAAAAGTTCAATTAATACAACACTACATAAAAGTACAACACAAGCTCAGTACAACAAAAATATCCTGCCTCCTCCTCTTGTGAAAAGACATGAAGGGTCTCAGCTCTCCCTAAAATTCAGCCAATCACAAAATTCAGCGCATGGATCAAAAATGAATTGTGTAATTTCAAACAACCTCAAAAGTTAATCTAGGGCAAAGATATGGAGAGTGGTGACTGTTGACGCTGACTTGATCTTGGAGGGTTCATAGTCTTTGGGCTTTGATTCCTTTGGTAAGCATGTTTAATGGAAATTATGAAAGCTGTAACAGTAAGTAGGAGAGCACACATAATTGGGTTATTAAACTGAAATCTAGTAGGCCCAAGAAATAATCCCAGGTATTAAATTCTGCACACTCATTCTGAAAAAAGAGACAAATATCCACAAGTGGACAGCACACAGCAGTTGTGTAAGAATGGAGTTTGAGGGGAGGCTTTAGTGATCTAGCTACTATGCAATAACTAGGTGGTTAAAATGTGTTTATGTATAGGAATGATTAAGAACTGTGTGATGCAGTTAAGTAGTAGTAATAATTAGGGGCTTGGCTAGGGACACCCAAAAGGCCACATATGGATAATAGACTGGTATCAATCTTGTTATGGTCACAGAAGGTGGCCAATGTGGTTAGATATCCAACAGGTTACAAAAAGTGGGGTATAAAAGGCTCTGGTTCTGTGTTCCCTCTAAGCTGCGCGCTTGCATGGCCGCCCAGGAGCTGTTATGCTTAAACAAAGCACACGAGATTTTTTTTATTGGGGAGAAGGCAACATGCCGCATTTATTGAGAATACAGCAGTTAGCATATGCTTTTTAGTTACACACACACGATGCACAGTTTTGCCAGTTGATGTTTATACACCTCTACCCCGATATAACGCGGCCTGATATAACATGAATTCGGATATAACGCAGTAAAGCAGTGCTCCGGGGGGGCGGGGCTGCGCACTCCGGCGGATCAAAGCAAGTTCGATATAATGCGGTTTCACCTATAACCCGGTAAGATTTTTTGGCTCCCGAGGACAGCGTTATATTGGGGTAGAGGTGTAGTTACCAATTTAGAGTTTGGATCAATCTAGTGGCCAGCCAGATTGGCCACAGAGGGAGCTGGGCTTTGTGGGTTGTGATTTGATGCTTTTGGAATAGTGGCAAGATGAACCCAAAGCTCCTTGACAAAGCACTTTGTCTTTATAGGGTTTTTTTGTTGTTGACATTTATGGATTTTGCTGTGTTAGTTTATGCCCAGTTACTTTTTAATTGGTGTTATTTTTTGATGTAAACATTTTAAAACACCTTTGAGAGGGTTATTTTGTTTTGGATTTGATTTAATTAATTGTTTTTAGGGGTGCTAGCCTTTGCCTTAGGGTTATTAATTTGCCCCTTTTGAATTATGGATGCGTGTTAATGGTTTTTTGGCATTAATAAGTTTTGATAAGTGTTTTATTTTATCTTATTTTATTGACCATTTGGTTACGAACGGCCTCTACATTTTATTTTTTTGATGCATGCATTTTTTATTTATACAGTTTTTTATAGAGACCTTTGAGAATACAAACAGCGGTATTTTATATTGAGCAAAAAGACATCGTAAATTAAACCTTGCAAAGTTTTATAACCAAAACAATTTACATTGAGGCCCAGGTCTTTAACATTTTTTTAATTTACTTAACATAGACCCAATACAGGATTCTGTCTTTTACTAACTAAACCTCAAAACAAAGAACTAAAAGGGCCCAATTTGTAATGCATATAGGAAACAGAATCCCATAGTCCCAGAGGGTTATTTCTTTTTGCTATTTAAAAAGGGTGGCTGGCAGGATGAAATCAAATTATACATTAATTTTTATATTACAATTATAAAATTCTGCTCCTACAGAGTGACTCAAGTGCCGTGCACGTGATTAGCAGAGCTGCACACGGCGGCATGTGTTCAGGTCCTCTGCTGCTCTGCAGCCATGTTGCACCTGCCCTCTGCCTTGGAGCCTCTGGCCAGCTGCTCCAGGGATCTTCCTGCTCCAGGGATCTTCCTGTGCCGAGCGGCGGGGGAGAGGAGCGCTGATGTCAGGGTGTCCCCCTAACCCCGCTTCCCCTCTGCCATGTACCCCATCTCTGCAGAGCAGGGGAGAGGGGACAGGGCTCAGGAGCAGGAGAGCTCAGCTGCTGCAGTCTGAGCCTTCTGGTGTGAATGCCTTAAAGAGACAGCACATGGTCTCTCAGACTGCCCCAGTAGCCAGCACACTCTCTCTCTCTCTGTGAGTGTGTGTGTGTGTGTCCCTCTCTCATACATACACACACACACACACACACACACACACTCTTTCACACTCACCTCCCAACACATACTCGTGTTGTTACTTCTTGGTACTGCAACGCACATATAGTCTCTTTAGTTTTATTTTTTCAAAGTTGCTTGACTGGTCTATGCATTTCATAATTTTATTTCTCTCTTATGCTTAAATTTAATTCTTTGAGTCGTGAGTTCTAAAATGCCTAACCTGTCCTGGCTGGTGTAATTATCCCTATGGTAACTTTAAAAAAATATATATCTAGATTTT